TCATGCACAAAGTTGAGCAGAAGCCTAAAGATTATTACATCGTACAAAAATATATTGGTATGTTTTTATTCAAACACGTTGCAAGAATCGCATTCTTGTTAGTCGCGTTATTTATATATCAAAACGTCCCTTGCTGATCAAAAAGACTAAATTTGGCATACGACTATGGTACCTGGTAACATGTACGTTCCCTCTCACAATATGTATATATCTCACAATATATATTCAAGTAAATCGTATCACAATTAAATTATCTTGTATAGTATTAAAAAATGTTCTTTTACATCGTCCTTACCAATTATAAATTCCATCTTGTGCGAAAATCATCGTTATATCATTTATTTGATTTATTGTCTTTAACATGTTCTTTCATATAATATTTTTAATATTTCTATTTCTTTTGGAAGAAGAAAAAAAAGTAAAGTAAGATTTGTTTAAAAATAGATTTTAACATTACTATCACTTTATTTTTGTTATAATATACACCTCCTATATTCTGCATTCAGAAAAGCATTTCTTCGGTTCAGCTCGAAGCAACATACTTTCTCGAACTATCACGATTCACATTTGCAATACTGCCGTTCAAGAGAAGTATGACGATGAGAAGAGACGCAGACAGCAATGGAGGCAGGAAGACCCCGAGGAATCCGCCAGTAGCAGATCAGTGCGCGATCAAGGATGGGACTGCGAGAAGCTGAACGAATATTTGAAGTAATCTCTCGTCTGTGCGAAGACGTTTCGATTATCCATTCGTCACGTCGTTCGGTCCCCGGGAGCATTCCAAGGAAATTGATAGGGCCCCTGTGCAAATACGCCTTCTTCGAGAAGCGCGTTCGTCCGAGAATGTTCGGGCACGAGAACGTTTCGCCGATGATAACGGCCTTGCCGTGCTCTCCCCGCCGTTCCTTTCTGGAATGACAAATCGAATAAGATTTTTCGATGACGCGACGTATATTCGACGTCCACGTAATTGCGAATAAAGCAGAAATATATTATCCGCGATTTTGCTCGTGAATGGACTCGATGTGGATGTGTATGCTACTACCACATGGAAGAAATCGTTCCCGAGACATGTACCCGAGGCTTTCTATCAAAAATTTCGCTATTGTTTTATTTCAACGATAGTAACTTCGCCGGTTACCTTTGTTCTGCGGCCGAAGTAAATGGTATCTTAATGATGATCGGATATGGGAAGTTAAGTATCCAGTGAGGGACAGAAAGATTATACAGAGTAATTCACTTAAATCGACCATCTGAAATATTTCGTTTATTTTTGATGATATAAAAAAACGTTTCAAATGAAAGTGGAAGGGTTTCGAGGGGGACGCATTTTGGTCATGTTGGTTTTTTTTAGGTGGAGATCAAAAAGATATGAAGGTTACTTCCACTTTTTTAAATAAAATTGTATGATTTTTTTTATATAATATGATTTCTTTAATTATTCTGCATATCAAAGTAATAATATAAAAAAATCAATAGTTGACGAGATATTTTACATTTTATTCTGGCACATATTGACATAAAATGTTAAATAACTCGTAAACTATTAACTTTTTGATAATCGTACCTCAATACGAACAAAATGAGATAAATCAGTTGGTGGAAAGGAAATATAATACATAGTTGCTTATTTAAAAAATTATCCATTTTACATATTTTTTTAAAGCAATGATATGTTTTCACTAACTGATTCATCTCATTATTCTGTTCATAAAAGTATTAAGGTATAATTATAAAAAAGTAATAGTTTACGAGGTATTTAACATGTCAATATGTATCAGAATAAAGAGTAAAATATCTCGTAAACTATTGGTTTTTTGATATAACTACCTTAATACTTTTATGTGCAGAATAATTAGACGAATCAGATTATTTTAAAAAAATCATACAATTTCATTTTAAAAAGTGAAGATGACCATATCTTTTTGATGCCTCTACCTAGAAAAAAAACAACATGACCAAAATATATCCCCTCAAAACCATTTCACTTTCGTCTGGAACATTTTTTTGTATCATCAAAAATAAGCGAAATATTCAAGATGTTCGATTCAAATAGATCACCCTGTATAGTAAAAGAGAAAAATATTTTATTGCAAATATGCAACTCGAAATTTGATAGTTTATTCCACAATATCTTTATGTTAATTTAGTATATTTTGCCATTTTGTTTAATTCTATAATCTTGCAATTTTTACAGAGTCCTAATAGATTTAATTTATTTAATTTGTTTATAATTATTAATCTTATTGACTTTGTTATTTAAGAGAATCTCAACTTTGTTGAGATATAGAATTTTCCTATTTTATGAGATTTCTAATTTATTTCTTATAACAATGTTATGTCATTGCATTATCAATATTCTGGTAAAAATGATTTTTTAAATAAATATTGACTCTACAAACAATTTTATACAGATCATCATAAGCAAAGATTTTTTTGTGCAGCAGTATAAAATATAACAGCTTACAATATTTTTTTAGTTTATTATTTATTTTGGAATCTATGGAAAAAGATATGATTGTTTGCGAAGCCATAGTTTATTTACGATAATTGCACTTTTCAATGAAATACGAGCTTTCACTTTGATTATTGACGCTGAGAGGACTTCTCCATCACTACAAATGTTTCAATTTATCGCAACAAAGTTTTTTTCCGCTAAAACTGTCCAATATATACAAAATATGTTTTATTCAACTTGTTCCATCTGAATTAAAAATATGCTTAAATCATTTTTGTCTACGTATAACGTGTATCTCATGTTTTTAGTTATGTAAGTTCTAAACCCGTTTTCATTATGACACTGAGTGACTGATTTTAAAAATAAAACAGAACATTTCCGATATTGTAATGTGAATCCTATTGTTTTAATAATTTATAATAGTTTTATTGATTTTTAATTTATTTATATTTTTGTTGTCACTTTTTATGAAAAATCAATCACAAAATCTCGAAACATATGATACTACTTTATTATTTTTATTATTAAACTAATAAATGTAGAAATAAGTAAAGAATACACATCTCAAAATTAAATCAAGTAACCTATAGCTGTAAGTAGAGAAACCGTGAGGTTTATTCATATGTAGAATATTTTATTTTCAAATTAAAGAAAAACTACTTACAATTGAAATAAAATTAATGGGCAAATGTTTGCTTTTCTAGATCCATGGGCCATGAAGATGAACATATTATGATCTGATTTATCCGAAAAAATAACGGAGACCATCGTTCTGATGAGGCAGCACAGAATCATATGGAGAGGCGCCGTTGCAGTTTCGAATTCTACAGCGCCGATTTCATGCTGGCTGAAGACATGTCAGTCTGGCTGATCGAAATCAATACCAATCCCCGCATGCATCCGCCAAGCTCCAGATTGACAAGACGCCTTTACTCTAACATATTGGAGAACCTGGTGAAAAGTGAACAACAAAACGGATATGAGAAAGTTATCATAGTGTTCAAAAGAACATTTTTCCAAGATGGCGACGGAAAAGCGGATGTGGATTGATGAAGGTAAAACTGAACAATCCGCGTGCTATTAACACTTTGTCTTTGCACGAACTTCAGAAATCGTTTCTGATCTGACCATATATCTGATTAGACGAGTTACGCGTCATCCGAACAATCAACCCGAGACGGCTCTCTCTCTCTCGGTTTGCTAGAATGATAACGGTGACCATAATTCGCGGCGACGTAATGCCGATAAGCGCCGCGTGCTCTGCGTGATGGATTTACGCGAGGAATTAACCGCGTTAGCGAGATTTCCGGAGCGCAATTATCGAGCCTGAAATGGTCAAACACCTGATTGCATCAATTATATCTTTAATACAACTTTCGCATATTGTCTTTGATAAAGAAATAAAATAATTGAATTGATCGAAATAATTTTCATCATGTTTTCAAACTTATTTTTAATAAATATCGATCATTTATCAATAATTTTAAACTTATGAAATGCACGGATATTTATTCTATTATTATTTACATCAAAATATTTTATAACATAAAAAGGATTTATAAAAATGCTGTACATGAATGAAAGCAAACATTAATTGAAGCAAATTTATCTTGGAAACGTGTGTATCAGAATTTTTGTAATATGCAATCTGATGTTAATAATATAGAGATATTAAATTAACACAAAAAAGAGATAATATTAAATAAAAATATTAAATTTGCAATAATAATTCATTTATTATGACTACCGATAAATTTAAACAATGGAGCTTTGTGAATTGGTTATATAATCAGTTCTTTCATATTCTCCAACAAGTTGAAAAAAGTTTCATTTTCCCTATTCTTTGTCCCCCATATGCATGGCTTTTTATTAAATTCAATATTCTATCTTTTTTAGAAAAGAGCTGATATATGTACGTCGTTTGTATTCATTAATAAAATCGCTGTGATCTCTTTTTTGAATTCATTTTTGAATATTTAATTTTCTGAATCTGTCGAACGCAATCATATCGAGCAAAAATATTGAACGTTTATAAATAGACGAATGTATTAATTCTTGTAATAATAGCGTATATAAATGATTAATAATTTTTAATAAATTTTTTAATAATTAAAGATAAATAAAATAGGTATATTACAGTTAACATACTTTTCCACATTTAAAAATACCGGATGTTAATTTACCAATTTTAATAATGAAATAAATCAAAAATTCTGTTGCTCTTACACCGAGATTTAAATGCCGAGAACTTATCACAATGTGACAATAATTCATTATCTATAAAATATAATTAAAATAAGAATTGAGGATATAAAGACAAATATGTAATACATATTTAAAATAATATATAAATAATACTAATAAGATAGGTGAATAAGAATCTCCATCGCGTATTCTTTCAATGATAAATGCAAGTGACATAAGAGGGTATAAAAAAAACTAGTGTGTGGCAGCGCACGGTTTCTTTTAATCTGCTAATCTGTTTTCTGCAAACTCCATCACCGTAATCTAGGTAAAAGCGATTTTCGGTAGTATGGTGCACGGTGAAAATCCTTCGATCGCTTTGCTTACAGTGATAATGGACGTGCCAGTGAACGTTTGCGCCGACACGGGTGGCTTCAGTCTGATCTACAAGCAGGACATACCCGACTTCCAGCCATACCTCGGTCCCTACCTTTTCGTAGCTGGCAAGTCGATGACACTGCACGAGCAGCCGCCGGAACTGACATCGGAGAAAGAAAGAAGGGCAAACATTTGCGGTCCCTGGAGCAAGAGGTAATGTGCAAGAACCGCCCCGCCCATGATTCTACGCTCGAGAGAACGTGGCAGATCTTATTGACCATTTGAAAGCCGCTCGGTGCACCGCGGCCAATTGATGTGAAACCCTCTTAGTCGATGCCATAAGATAAACATGAAAACGATCGGTGAGGCAAGTGATCCTTCAATATTTACAGGTGCGTGTTCAATCGAGAAGCAGATTATAATTTAATATAGAATATATTACCCTATCATGGGTCACTAATAACCGAGCGATTTCTTATTTTTTCTTAACTTATGAGTATTTTGATAATTATAACTTATACTACATTTTGTTATTTTCCAAAATGAAGTTTAAACATTTGTTCTAGAAAGTTGAATATAATGTTTGTAAATTTTCAGAGATTTTTTTAATCATTTTAAATAAGTGAAAATATGAACGGGTTCTAGTAATCCACGATAGTAGGAATGAGGCATCAAATTGGACATGGTGTTATAAAAGTTAATACGGAATTTTTTTATCCCGGATATATATCAACTTCAATAGATATGTATATCCTAAAAAAATATCTGTATGAATTTAACACTATGTTGTGTCTATATCAAGAGAAACACTAGTAGTGTCTCGGCGCTAAGCCACGCGCAACGACACTACCGTGGCTACTTTATGCGAGATAATTTTCACCAGAGTTGGAAAATGACGCATTACTTGTAACATCGTTATCATTATCATTACCTTTTTCTATCTCTAACAGTAACGAGAAACGTTGTTATACTTTTACAGTAACGATACTAAATTCAACGTTACTTTTATTGTTACTTAAATCCCTTATCTTTGTATTTATTCAATAGGTCATATTTTATTTTATTGGAATATTCTTTAAATAACTATATTAATATTTAAAAACAATGTTTAACAAAAATACAATATTGTTTTATAAAATCTACGTTTGTAAATTATAATCTGAATTCTTAAAGATAAGCATATATAAAGATATTAACATTTAAAGAATTATGGAAGACTTGCTAGATACTTGTTCAATATAAAGAAAAGCTAGCCTATATAGAGACTGATTTACAATTTTTAATTTTAATACTTTAAGCTCAATAAGTTAATTTCAGTAAGTTTAATTTTGATTGTTATATTTAACATTGATTGTTAAATAATGAAATTCTTTAATCTAATCTCTCACTTTAACATTACAAAAGTAATGATAAAAAAGTAACAAATTGTTATTTTCTAAGTAACAATAACGATAATGGGTTACTTTTTAAAATTAGTAATGAGTAAAGGTACACGCTGAAAAAAAAAGTAATTTTGGTGAAAAATGGACGAATTAAAATTTTCTGGTTAAATCTACTAACATTCCAATTGAAATAACTAGAATTCTGATTAGAATAATTATTCTGGTAAAAATAAGAATTCTAATAGATTTTACCAGAAATATATCAACCAGAATTCTGATTACCTCCACTAGAATTTTAATCAATTTAATTATTAGGTGTTGGAATTAATTCGTAGCGTTTTTTAATGAAAGAATGTTATTTATTTCACATGAGCATTAAAAAATACATTAATGAAAGTACTTCCCATCACTTGTAAAACGCTACGAATTAATTCCAACACCTAATAGAAAATTCTGATTCATTCATTTTTAGCAAAAAATTTTTTAGTCTAACAAGTTATTTTTTACATAAAAAATAACAGTAATGATAACGCGTTATTTTTATGAAATAATGTTTCCAACTCTGATTCTCACCGTATTGATGTTAATAGTAACACCAATATGATGTAGATATAACATAGATTTTAATCCATATCATGATGATATTGAAATTAATATCGATACCAAGAGAATTATACGAACATCGCATGGTGTTAAATTCACACTGATATTTTTTTAGAGTGTGTTAAAATTTGAATGACTGTATTGATATTGATAAAAAAGATAGTTCAAGGTGGTGAACGGAATTGCAGGAGACTTCGTTTTCTAATCGAGGGCACCATCGCGCGATTGAACGCGAAATTTACGCGTCCGTATTTTTTTACAATAAATTTAGTACTACGCCGTAATTAACGAGCGTGAGATAGCGCAGTGTAATTAATGTTATCATTAATAAGGCGATGACCGCGTGCGCTGGCATTTCTTCTTTCCACGTCTCTGAAGAAAAGCGCATGGTTTGAAGAGATGTGATGGTTGCACTATTGGATATAGCGATGTAAACTTCTTCGAAACATAACGAAGTAAACTTTCTCAGTCGCGGTGATTGACGGAGTACTTTTGCGAAAAATTTGCACCACGATACATAATCTTGTTGGTGACGGTCTTACATTTATACTTTCCAAGAGAACGCTAGGAAAATCTACTTACTAAACAAATTTATATACTAATAATATGAAAAAATAAAAAATTTAAACATTATTATAGGATAGTCTAAATTAACATAAAGTCATTATTATTTGCTTTGGCATATTGATTCAAAATCACCCTCACTTTGGCAGAAATTTATGACGACTCGATAGTCTCATGCAAGAACCAAACGATCCAGATAAAGACAATTGTTTTATTGATATGTACATACAATAAATTTATTTACAAATAATACAATAAATTTTGACGTCGTAAGTTATTTGTTCTTGATGATATATGTTAACAAAATACTACGCTCTTACCGATTATTGTGCCGTGCTGATATTTGAAAATTCTTTTGGTCACGGAAGTTCGATTTTTGTCTTTTCTTTTAAATGTAAACTGTAATGTTCGGTTTTACCCTGCACAAATATTTATCCAAGAAACGTTAACGACGTTAAATAGGTAATCCGCGATTCTCAATAATCGCGCTTCTCGTTCCATCGCGTGTGTCGGGGTAAGTGTGTTTTCCGTACTTCTCGCTTTATATAAACATTATATTAGCTATTACTAAAATTATAAAACAAATCGGCCGTGTCTTGCTATACAAGGAGCTTCCGCTTTCCCCGTGGTGCATCGCGGCTGGATGTTCTTCTGCAACAGAAATTTTCATCGATTCGACACGGTAATCTACGAATGGATTATAAACAGATAATATATGATTTTATGTGATTTTATCATATATACTATAAAAATATGTAAAATCTATATTATTTATATTAATATTTAGTTTTTAATTTAGGATGAATTAAGTAGATAGAACAATTATAATTATAAAATAGTATTCATAAAATATACGAAATAAAAAGAAATACACCTTATATATACATATATATATATTATATATAGACAAAAAAACGGACCGAACTAATTTGTACTCCTATATATGTATAGAAGTTGTTATTTTATACTTTATCTAATTTTATTTGCATATTATCTTAAAGATTTGTGAACGCGAACTCCACACGTATTGCTATAATCTTGCAACGTTATTATATAAAACTTAAGTAGTTATCCCTCCTTCTCTGTGTCCCAGAAATTAGTAAATACCAACTCAATTGAAAACCGATACAGATTCCTCGCAAGTCTGAAACTAATAATGCACCGGACTTTAATTAGTTAGATGACAAGCTAAATTGAAATTGCCAATACAAAACGAGTTTAAATGCTTTCTGGAAAATTACATAGGCGCGGCAAAAAGACAAGATGGTAACAAATGAACATTAACTTTGGTTATACAAGTGTAACTAAAATAACGCCCACTAATATATAGTATTATTCCTAATAAAAAACTAAGGCGAAAAGTCTTCTACCATTTTGAAGTTTTCACCATATTTTTTTTAGTTGCCCAATGAACAAGATCGCGATGTATAAGATAGCTTTAAGAGTTTTTTAAAAAAATCTTCAAAATATTTCACAAAGAACACGGAAAGATATCTTAAAATTGTCTTAAACATCGATTTTATCCATTTATTCGGCAATCTTTAGAAATTAATATCTCGTTAACTATTGCAAAATGATAGAGGACTTTTCGACTTAGTTTTTTATTAAAAATAGCACTGTATGATTAGTGGGCGTTATTTCAGTTACACCTTGTATATATATATTGTATGTACTTCGTGTGTTCATCGGTTTGTTCTGCTTTTTGCACAGAAACAACTAAATATTGTTACAAACAAAAATATTTGAATAGAAATGCGTTGTGTTGAAATTTGTATTGTTTTTTAAAAAAAACAATGTGCGTGGCGTATGCAAGAGCAATATCGCAGATAAATGATGACGATACATGATGACGATAACATATCTTCCTTTTGTGTAGGTATCGATGCACATGGATGAACTGTTTCATTCGACCAAACTGTCAGCTGTTGTTCTAGACAACACGCTTCAAATTTGTAATTTGATACATCGGTTTTGTCTGATTACGCATTGATCTGTTCATATATTATGAGTCAAAAGAAACAATTAGATATCTTTTCATAATTAGTAAACATATTTTAAGATATTTTCTCACGTCTATAATTCAATCAATCAATGATTTTTATAACTGACATAATTAAGTAATGCAGCAAAAAATCTGTAATTAATTTGAAAGAATTTCGTTAAAAATATCGAATCATGACAGAATTTGAAAAAATTAGAAGTGATTTGTTCTATATTATTGAAAATCTTTATTCACCTTGACTTTTGATCCCATTATGGTCAATCGATCTATACTTTGCCTAAGATTTTCTCTTAGGTATATATCCATTGCAGAAAAAACAGTTTGAAAAGATTAAGGCGTTTCTGAGAAATCTTGCAGATGGATAATCGAGCAAACAAATAAATATACGGACGGATGAATCAATATAGCGAAATTATAAAATAGTCACATCTACATTACAAATTTTTTTTAAGTATTTTTTTTCAAGTCTCTTACGTTTTTTTAAACAATAAATTCTATTGCGGATACAAATGTAATATATAGAGACGATGAAACAATTCGCACAATCAACTTATAAGCTTTAAAGCGTAAGGTCGTATTCGTATGACTTGGTTGCTTCAGTATGGGCGACAAAATTCGTAAATTCTGCCGGCTTCAAAAATATATCGAATTACAAAAAAAGCTCTTTTTTTCAGAATGGACGAAACAATCCGCTTTCGTTTGATTTTATTTTGCTCGTAACCGGACGCACTCGGAAATTGCGTGAAAATCAGGCTTTGTCATTGCTTTGTCATCGCGAATCGACGCATCGAGAGTGCGTTGCGTTCGACGAGAGAAAGAGAAACGAAAAAAAACAAGATTTTGAAATCCGCTGTATTTTGCAACTGCATGTAGTACGAGAGATCTGTCCGCGGTGTTCCGCGCCCGAGCAATCGACTGGCCGTAACCATCGATTTCAAGCTTAACGCGCGACTTGCCAGATAGATTCGGAGTTTGCAATATTTACAGAAAAGTCAATCAACGTTACTTTTGCGCAGCTCTCTACGAGTTCTCTCGTCGCGAGATGCGGCAGGCACTATTTCTGTCGATTCATTGTAATTGCGGTAAAGCCGCTTGGAGTTCGAATTTTTTTCAGTTTTCCGCTAAACCGCGAAATCTTGATCAGAAATTAAAACAAAATTTTTGCATCGCGGCAGAACATGAAAAATTGAAAAAGAAATAGGTGATAAAATAGAAATAAAAAAATTATTTCATCAAAATAATTACTTTATGTGATTTATAATATAAATTGTTTTATAACATATATATTGACAGAGTAGATTTCAACTCACCGTTTACAACGTGCACTTTTATACTGCTAGGATTCGCATTGCTCGGCTCGCATCGATAGATCCCGGAGTCGCTCGGCACGGCTTTTTGAATCATTAAACGACTCGTTGTTTCGGGCCCCTTTTCCGTAACAAGACTGATTCCTCCACGTGGCGAATCGAAATTGATAATCTGAACATAATTATAATATATTTGTATTTTTTCTTAAACAATGAAATTGTGCACGATTAATTGAAAATAGAATGTATAAACGCCAATAATGGAAGGACATCAAATTTACATACGTAATATAATCGCTTGCAGTAATAATAACAATATTATTCGATGCAAAATGATTATATGATTAAAATAATAATAAAGAAAAATTAATTAATTAAAAAACGTAAATATTTTATTCACATTATACATATGATATGTATTTTACATTTAGTCTCTCTCTCTCTCTCTCTCTCTTCCACTCTCTCCCCCCTCCCTCCCTCCCTCTCTCTCATTACATTTATCTTATAAAGATTTCGAGGATTAGGAATGTTATTTCATAAAAGTAACGATCGTTATAAAAAAAAAATAACGACGTTATGTAACATGTTACTTCCCAACCATTTCTGATTTAATTGCAACATACACTATACAACTACATCATATATTTTTCTTTTTATAATTTATTTACTTTTACTTATTTCTCACTTTAAAAAACTTCTGTTCTTGTCATATACTGATATAATTTAATTATATATTAGCTTATTATATATTAACGCTTATCGCTTGAGGAGACATAAGCATTTCACTTAACGCTTACAACGCTCGTGAAATCATTTCATCCTTGTTATTTATCAAATGTTAAACAAGGACAAACGATGCTCGCAAGCGGTGCGAGCGTTAAATGGAACGCAGCCATAGACATAGTCTTCTCAGAGCGCATAATAAATAACAATTTTATTCTCTCTTTTTAATCTCTATTTCTTACTGAAATTAAACTCTTTTTAAAAACAAGAGCCCCCTTCAAATTATTGATACATATTAATTTATAAGAAATTAAATTAATAGGTGAAGCTTTCTCTATGTCATGATTATATATCGGAAATAAGACGATATCTATCCGAACTTTACACTATTGAAAATTTCTGAGCTTCGAGCACCATGAGATGATGATAGCTTCAGGAAACTCTAATAATACCGGAAATGAAGACTAACTCCTCTTTTGATTCGCATCGTTTAATATCGAACATGTAGATGCGATGTCGTATGCGTTTCATCCGCAATCGTTCTTTCAAAGACACCGGCGCGCGCCTGTTTTCTTACATTCCCCGCTTTTTCCGACGCAATGACGCCCCTTTGGCGGAAGATAAAAGGCACCTCCCCGTGAGGTACGAGGTAAAGAATAGCAGGAAACGCGTATATATACGTATATGTTTCTTTCGTATTCTCTTTGAGAATAGACACGCGTAACGGCACGCCCCCGTAGATAGAATAGAAAACTATCCTTCGCCTTTCCTCTTTCGCTTTTCTTTCAGTGCTTTTCATTTCTCTTTTCTACAAAAAAAAGTTAACTCGTCCCATATCTCATACGATGGCAGAATCGTTTCGCCGTGTGTATATATCGCTTTAAAGAATAAATGATTATCCGCGAATCGAAAACCACGAAGGATTAATCGGAAAATAATTTCCTTGGCTGCCGCGTACGGTTATGCGAACGGCTAGTCTTCTATTTCGCGTTTCACTTTGATCAACGTGCGCGATAGTACCTTGCGAAAATTGTGTTACCTGCTGTTTTATTCTAGTAAAAGCACGTAGCTGGGCGAGTGTAGCGCGTATCTCCGGCGACCGATGGCATACCGATGTATCGGCAATCAGCCGAGAAATTACTGTCTACCCCCCTTTTTTTTTATCGATCGTTTGCTAGTTTTTACTACAAACCATGCGTACACGTACGAGCGTCTCATTAACGCGCGCAGAATAATTTCCGGCTCGGCCGATACCAAACGTGGAATTACAAATATCGGCTCGCAGAGGGGAATTTAAAATTATCTCGTCATCGTGAATAAAATGACGCGCGACGCCGCGAACGTTACGTCGCGCAAAATTATTCTAAAGAGTTCGTCAATATTAATGGGTTCCGTGGCGTAATGTGCTCTTTGTGTCCCGTGAAATGCGCGTTTACAATAACTTTTGTTGCACAAAGTGGTATTAAAAGCACAAAATGTATTTTCCCATCGCGAAGAAAATACACGCCGACAGACCATATTAATCATGTATGTCTGTTGTTGTCCGACGCGGCAAAGAGCGCCGTTATGCAACTCGTCGCGAGATAAATTACGGACAGGAAAATCGGAGATGGAACACATCGAGTCACGGTCTGGAATTCCGGTTTGCAAAACCACTGTGCGAAAATTATAAAACTATAGTCCATAATTACAGAACAAATTCTATTGAACTTATTATAATTCATTTGTTTTGTATAAGATGAGTAAAGCAAAATAATAGCTAGAATTAAATTGCGAGTCCCATTTTTCACATTAAAATTTTAATTAAATCTTATTATAAAAATTTTACTACAAATTCAAAACAAACTCAAAACTCGAAATTGTTATAAAATTTAAGGATTTTTTGCTTCTATAGACTCTGTTATCTTTCAGTAATTTATTTGTGAAAGCAAATAAATAACACTTACTTCCGTGTTATGACTCCAGGTCATCGTCGGAGGTGGTTCGGGAGCGTATTTTACGACGCACGTTAGATTGATGGTGCTGCCCTTATTGACGAAGAGGTCCGGCGCTCCAATTATAATGGTTATCGGCTCTAAAACAAAGACGAACGATTTCAGTGGTCTCTGCAGTTTAAGATGACCAACTTCTTAAGAAAGCAAAAAGGAACATTTAAACATTCAATAAACCGTCAACCGTTCAATATTAAATGTCGTAATTAAATTGTAATAGATTTTTTAAAAAAACATTTTTAAAATAATTGTTAACGAAACACATAAACAATAACATAAACAATAATTATTATATTTATAAATAACATTTAATGTATGATGTCACATAAGATCACAATAAAAATTACGTCAAGTTATGGGATCACATTTTATTGTTTAAAATTACATTTTTTTACTAAATGTATTTTATGAATAATATCGGGATGTTTAAATAAAAGATCATAAAAGTCTTCACATATTAGTTAAAAATTATATTTCACACTCTTATTATTTTTATTTATATATTTTCACTTATTATTTCACATTTATTATTTTATATTTAGAAGAAGAACAATTTATAATCATGTTCTTAATTTGGAACAGTTGATCACTCATTTGTAGCTACGTGAATGGATCACTTAAAGGCTTAAATAATTAGACTATAGTTTCCCAACCTTTTTTAGCTCACCACCCCCTTTTCAAAATGCTTTTTGTTCAGCGCCCCCTTGACAGTAACCGGTAAACTGTCTCTGAACTCTAAATAAAGCAACAAAATGAAAATTATACAGAATCAAATAAAAAATATTTAAAAATTATTGCATAATATAAATTTATAAATATTAAAAAATGATCAATTAATGAGAAGTTTGAGCTTGATGTGACGCTAGTAATCTGTCTATATTTGATTCCATTTTTGTCAGCAGCATTCTTAAATCTCCGCGCTCAACTATTTGCAGTCAATTCCTCTTTTTCATCAAAAGATTTGTAATTAAACCCATTACCACATTAAATCCACATTCCAATTAATTAGGATAAAGGAAATGCAATAAAATTTTTTTGTTACAACCCATAATGCTGGGAATGTTTAGGGTTTAAATGTTTGTTTAAAAAATATTTAGGAGATTAAATTTCTCTAGCGCGTTCTTTTGCTCACTTGCTCCTCAACACCCTTCTACTACTACCCTTAGGACTACCAATGCCCCTCCCCCAGATCTCCTCAACGACCACCGATGAGTGATAAAGTCCACGTTGGGAATTTATGAATTGGACGATAATTTTTGTCACATACATTTTTATCATGTTCAATATTTTTATCGCTCAACCGAGTCCATCGTAAAGCGAGACTTTGGGTCAAGTTGCGCCGAAGATCTTCTACTAATTTAACTAATTTAAAGTATCATGGTCATTAACGAGAGATCTTTCAGATTAAACGATATCTCATACACGCTTCCTATTTGAATATAAATGCGTGAAACACAGGACGCATCTATTCTTTTATATGTTTCTGCCAAGTTAAGAAAATTGCGCATTTATAGTAAAAATTTAATGTAAAACATATTTTTTAAATATTAATTTAAAATGTGAAAATTAATTAGAAAATTTTATATATAAGAGATAGAAACATTACTGCTTCTTAATCGAATTTTTATGTACGGAAAATTGGATCAAGGATTTCAATTCCAGATATTTCCTTATGAAAAAGATATAAAAGAAAGAAAATTTCAATTATATACATACATATATAATTATATTGAAAATTGCAAACGTTTCCGAATTTATGAACGGCATGCTTTCAAGATTAATTATGAATGAAAATTTCTCTTCTGTATGTAGCTGTTAATTAAACGATGGTTATATTATACGCAAGCTAACTATAGAAGGTACAGGTCTGCACTTTCTTCAACTAGCAGAAAACTTTTGAAGTTATATTGCATACAGAGGAACGTTTGAGTCAAACTCATGATGTTACCAGGAAATTTATATCGCTTCAAATAAATATGTCTCTCAATGAAAGTAAAGTACGACTTTGAAGTTTCGTCACCAAAGTGAAAACTTGGAGGAAATTAGAAATTCAAGAGTTTTGTAAATAAGATCGTTAGCAAATATAACATGATATCTATTGGATATAGTCACTTCACGTATTTCATTTTTTTTCGTATTTCAAAAAAGTGAAAAATTAATGTTATAATTACATAAAATTAATTATTCGCTTACCAACTATCGTTAAATACACAGGATGGCCGATGGGCGGGGTCGTAGATATTTGGCACTCATAAATCCCGGAGTCCTTACGCTGAGGATATCGTATCCTCAAGGTCCAGTCCTCCGTATGAGGAGAGTGTAGTGCCTCGAAACGTTGATCGCTGGTATAGGTATAACGACCAACCGTTAACAAATGTATATCCCGATGCCTTACCCAGGAAACCTGCAAAATAAGATATTGCATCTTAGTCATTCTTATATCATTTTATTTTTTTCTATAGATACACAGATAGAAAAAAAAATTTTATTTGCAGGAATGATTCTATTCTCTAAATTTCTTATTCCAAAAGAGTTAAAATAGTGCCACTATTGAAAAAAATGTGAAAATGCATTCTTAAATAATGGTAACTTTTTTCGGAGTGAGAGTTTACACTTTTGGAGCGAGATTTACTCTACAAACAAAAAAGAAGTAAGATTTCTTTCCTTTTGAATAAATCTCACTCCAAAAGTATGAAAAAAAAGAGTGAAAATCTGTCACTCTTATTAAAAAGTGCAAATTTTCCATTCTTTTTCAATATAGTGACGGTATTTTTCATTACTCTTTATATTTTTTTATAAATTGGAATGAGATTTCACTTCAAGAAAATATAAAGAGTAATTAAAAATAATTTTGTTAATTCAATAACACTAAACTTTCTTTGTAAAGTGTCGAAAATTTGGGGTGCCTCACTAGGATCCACCCGAAATTACAAATATCTGCACAAAATTTGGATTAAAACTACGTGTATATCTTAATATAAAATGAACCACATATTGTGCAAAAATAGTATTCATAATTCTTGTGTACATAGGTAAGATTATATTTACTTTTCGAGATTTGTATGTAAGTTTGTGCATGTAAATGTCTTTCCAGAATGTGAGATGACCTATTACTTTTTTATGATCATTAAAATCGTAATTTTTTAAACTATTATAATCTTGATTTTAAAAAAAGACTACGGTAAGATTTGTGTGCAGTTAGTCAAAGAAGCAGAAGTCTCTGAGCCTCATCTGTTACTAATTGTAAGTCACAAGTAAAAAGTTACATTTTAAACATTTCTTTTCTCTTTTATTTCATTGTTAACCTATCGTAGAGTTTTGCACACGTCAATTTCGGTACTGCGATTTCATTACATAAAAAAAATTAGACATTTCTATGATAACTTGATTTACTAAAGAACTAATGAAATAAATAATATTTTATTAAAACGAAAGCATACCATGTTTATGTTTCATTAATACTATTATCTATTATATAAATTGATAAAATTATTTTTAATTAAATTGTTGCTGTTAAAAGACTCCTGTTTGTTCACTACTACACATTTATATTATGACGTCAGAAACAAGAAGAAAAATAGACAATAAAAATTTTTGCATGATATTGTATATTAATATGGAAATATATTTTAACAAAACAACTCTTATAATTAATAGAATATTTTAAAATATACCGCAAACTTTTTTTTTGTTCCATTAATTAATTAATGAATAATCATATACACTTGGAAATGAATTACGCATAATTAAAAACAAAATGAGCTATATTCACAACTATCCCAAATTGTCAAATTAATAATATATAGAAAAATAAATATGATTTAATTTCCTCCCGAAACAAAAAAATCATTTTCACATATACGATATATTTTATAAGTCTATCGATTGAAAATGGTATTTTGTTGAAAAATTATTCTATTTGAACATAATTTGAGAGAATTTTTATTCTATGCTTTCTTATTTCTATCACATCACAATCTGAAATAATAGTGAATGGAAGTCTTTATACAACATTTTTTTCATATACAATTGACATATTACCGCATTGAATTAATAATTGATTTCCGTTCATTTGTAATATTAATAATAAGACAGCTATACAAGTGTCTTTATAAACAGTTCAACTGATAATGTGAGATGTTTAAGATTATATATGTATACCTTAAAAAAATATAATATAAAAGTATAGAGAAAAAACTTATTAATTGTGTAATATAGTATATCAAATTACACGAATTTTATGTCATTGAGGATCAAAGCAAGTGATGCATGTATATAGGCCACGGCCATGTGAGGAAATAGTGTACCTGTATACATGTCATGGGTGGACTGTCAATATCAGGCGCGTTACTGCCCTACCATATATTTATATATCCTACGGCATTGCCTGCGGCTTGCATAATACATTGCTTGATGAATAAATCGAAAGCTTATTTGTTTATTTAATATCGCTGCTACTGTTGAATTTTTATTGTCTAAATCAAGAATGTGCCATAGCCTGAAAGGAGTAAACGAAATTCAATCAAATCTATAGAGATTATAATTTGAATGTACGTAAAAGTTTCATCAGAGTTTCAATGTACTCAATAATATATACTATAATAATTTTATCGCGCCAGCACGCAAAAAACATGAACAAAATTAATAATTGATATAAAAAAAGTTTCATCAACTGTATTCTCTGAAGTAACATTCACATTCGATTCATTAACCCTAATTAACTCTAGAAATTGGCGAAAATGGCATAACGACTGATACTCGTAAAATAATTTGTTTTATTCAATATTGATCATCCAATTGAAAAATCAAAAAGTTCATCGACTAAAACACAAATTAGCTCAATGAGAAATACCGCATTTTTATGAAATTAATAGGTACATAAATAATTTTCTTAATTGTATACGTAAAGTAATCGTTCTATAAATAAATGCTTGCATATCTTTTATTATTATTCAATTTATTATTACTTAATTTTTAATTTGATGAGGTTTTCAAAAATAATGTTATGTGTCAATGAAAAGTTTAATAAATTGCCGATTAAAATTTCAACTTGTCGTTCTATCGTGACTCAAAATATATATTGGATAAATATTAACAAAATAATTAACTGCTGTTCTTTTCCGGATATGAAATTACTCCCACCGCTATACCTACCAATAAAATTGATCGAGCTAAATATGAAAGCCATCAAAATCTTATCTTGATTCGCAATTTTATCTCCTAATGGTTGAGAGAGAAAAGGCATAACGCTTTCACAGAGATACATATACAAAGTGTCCCGCAATTTTTGGTCAAGCGCTTTTTTATAGATAGAGCACACTCTAAACTGAGTCGAAAAGTCCTCTACCATTTTAGAATTTTCGCAATGGTTAACGAGATATTAATTATTAAACATTTCCGAATATTGATCTCCAATAATTTTTTACTTAAATATTATCAATTTTAAAAAACAGCAAGAGATAAAAATTATTTATTTTCTTCTCATAGCTCTAAGAATTTTTTTCAGAATTTTTTATCAATTGTTTAGTATTATATTTTCTTATTGGCAACTATTTTTACCGACATGAGAAAATACGATATTAAACAATTCTGAAAATATTAAATCAGAACTTCATTTGAGAAGAAAATAAGCAATTTTTGTCTCTCGCTGCTTTTATGTAAAATTGATAGTATTTGAGTAAAAAATTATTGAAAATCAATATTCAGCGATTTTTAGTAATTAATATCTTGTTAACTTTTGCGAAAATTTCAAAATGGTAGAGGACTTTTTGACTCAGTTTAGTCCGCTGTATTTACAGAAAAACATTTAGCCAAAAATTGCGGGATGTCTTGTATTGGCGATATTCAATTTTTTGCTTGCGTGAAAATATTTAAGGTGATTCTTTAATAAAGTGCCGAAAATTTGAAATGAGGTTTGTCACTGAGGTTTGTCACCCAAAATTACAAATATCTGCATAATTTGGATAAAATATTAAAAATACGTGTATATCTTAATGAAATATTATAGTATGAAACATACGATAGTAAATCAAGAGTTGCATCTTCATCGAAAATATTATGTTTACTTTTTGATATACTTGAAATGCAAGTTTATGCACATAAATATCTTTCCAAAATAACCATTAACTTATAATTTTTTTGTAATCATTAAAATTGTAATTTTTTGAACTATTATAATCTTGTTTTTGAGAAAAATCTATGATAAAATTTGTGTGCAATTAGTCAAGGAAGCGTCTAAGCCTTATCGGTCATTAAATTATATGTGAAAGGTTACATTTTCAATATTTTTTTTTCTCTCTCATTTCATGTTAATTTATAATAATATAGAATTTTGCACACATCAATTTCGGTACTTCAACTTTATTACATAAAAAAATTGACATTTCTATGGTAACTTGATTTACTAAAAAAACCACCTTAAATTACTTGAAAGATAGGCATTTCGGGGTTCATTCAAATATAACTTATCGAAATGAATGAAAAGAGTAATTCCAAAAACACATTTTTAGGTTATGTATTTTATGTCCTCGAATTTCAAATCGAATTATGTATCAAACGGTGCTATGTGATGGCACATTTTAGAAAAAAATTTAATTTGAGTATAGGGATAGTCTTGAAGATATTGGCAGTCAAAGAGATCAAATTCCTAACATTTTTAATAATAAAATTGAGTAACTTTATGAGAACATAATAAAATTGAGTAAAAGTCTAGAGTAAAGAATAATGCAATTTTTTTATTTTGGCAAAAGAGAAAGTATTTGGCGTGATCGAACAGGTTGAACGTACATCGCGCTTTTCGGATCATTTTACGGAAACTTCGATGTATTAACTGATCGTGGGTTGACGTCCTCTCGACGGGAGTGACGTTGCCATGGAGAGATTCGTTTTGTCCTGGTTCGTCCTGCATCCGGCACCTGCGCCAGCTGGAGCTCTCGAGATGACACGACCGTGTTATTGGCATTAGCGTTGCCGGCTGAAAGCCAAACAAAATCTATCCATCCTGACGAAGCGATGGGGTTGCTGGCGAACGCTGAAGAACGGGACGAGGAAAACAGAGGCATCGCAACTGTCGTGCCGCGCACATCTAACACGCCGTGCGAATGCAAAATCGGCTTTTGGTAGCTAGCTATTGAAATCGATTCTACAGATTCTGGAGCTGTGAGAGGTTTTCAGTCGCGATCGTTTTAGTGTATACCTGGATTCAACTGAATTCTCCATCTTCATGCAGCTTTAAAGGGCGGCTTTTGCAAAATGGAAGGATTACATTTTCTAACTCGAGCGACGCAAATAGAGTCAAACGCTTTATACAGATTGAAAACTATAAATAATTTATAACAAAGTAAAAGCTTTTTTATACTGAAAAAAATAAAATATTTAATCAGAGTTAAAAATTAGAATTGTGAT